ACGTTTAGGGTTGGGATTAGGAGTATGTTAGGATTAGGGGTAGGGTTAGGGTTGAGCGTCAAATTGGATTACGTTTAGGGTTGGGATTAGGAGCATGTTAGGATTAGGGTTAGAGTTAGGGTTGAGCGTAAAATTGGATTACGTTTAGGGTCGGGATTAGGAGTATGTTAGGGTTAGGGTTAGGATCGGGGTTAGGGGCATGTTAGGATTAGGGTTAGGGTTAATGGGAAGGTTAGGCAATCATATTGCCAACTTATCTCGCTCATCTTCGCCCTACCATGTCGTGGCCTAGCATAAATATAATATATCTCACATGTTCGTCTGTGTATTTATATATGGAATTCATATATTTAAGATATTTCGTATATTTGACCTTTTTCATATATTTCGTATATTTGTCAGATTTCGAGTATTTCGTATATTTCATATATCTCATATATTTCATATATTTCGTCTGTAATGTATCGTTCATGCATTCCACATATTTCGAAAATTACGTATATTTCACATATTCTGCATAATTCGTATATTACGCACATTTTACATATATTTCAAATATTCCACAAATAATTTCGTATATCCACGTACATTTCACACATTTCAAATATCTCACATATTTCACAGAATTCTCACGCCGTCAAATGTTTCCGTTCACACACACACACAGGTCTGAAGACGATCGTCAACGCGCTGCTGCACTCACTGCGCATGCTCGGCGAGGTGATGGCGCTCACCATCTTCTGCATGATGATATTCGCTCTGTTCGCACTGCAAGTCTACATCGGCGTGTTGCGACAGAAATGCGTCGCCGACGCGCCGGACTACGTCGCCAACAGCAGCGACTTCAACTACACCGACTGGACGCAGAACGAGGAGAATTGGTACTACGCCGACCATAGTCCGATCGTCTGCGGTAACACGTCCATGAGCAGGTGAGAGAAAAAGAGAAGAAGGTTGGCAATGTGCCAATGATGTGCTGATGGGGTACGATGCTTCGGAGTATGTGCATTAGTAGGTAGAAAAAATGGTGTCGGTGTTTTTGTTAATAGGGGAAAACCCGCGGTAACTCTTTCAAAGGAATGAGAAATCCTGGCACTATGTCAATGAACACGTGAAAGATTTGTCAGTGTGTCAGTGAGCAGGTAAAAAGTGTATAAATGTGTTCACGAACACGTAAAAAGGTGTATCAATGTGAGATATGTGGCAACGTGTCCATGAGCAGGTAGACAGATCTCGCAATGAATACCTCGACAGGTATGAAATGTCGCAAATTATTCAGAAGGAGGTGGGAAACCTGGCAACATGATAATGGACAGGTGCGAAATGTGTGAATATTCCTATAAACAAATAAAAAAACTCCTGCTACACTGTCAACACTGTCATGGAGAGTAAAAAAAACGTTGCAATGTGCCAATGACTCGCATAGGAAAATGCGACAATGTATCAATGAACAAGGGTGAAACATGGTAACACTTACATAAACAGATAGGAATACCCATACTAATACACAAGTAATACACTTACAATATTACACCTACAATAGCGTATTATTACGCATGCTAATATTACGCAATAAATCTGGCAATATGTCAGTGACCATGTATAACAAACAGGGTAATACGGTCGTGAACAGGACGTAAACGTGCCAGTATGGTGACGGGCAGGTAGGTAATAGGACCATGTCAATGAATGGGTTATAAGGCTGGTCTTAACACATCATATTAATGGTTGTTATAAATACAAAAACAACAATGATGATGATAATAATAATAATAATAATAATAATAATAATAATAATATTAACCCTGATATAGTGATCCACAACAGGAAAGAAAAACGATGCCTGTTGTTTTACTTAGCCGTACCAAATGATACTAACATCATGGTGAAGGAAAGAGACAAACTTACCAAAGTACTAAGATTTGGAGATCGAAATTAGGAGGATGTGGAATACTAAGACGAGAATTGTAGCAGTGGTGGTTGGAGCCCTTGGCTCTATAACGAATGGTTTTGAGAAGAACCTTAAGGAGCTCTCTGGCCACCACACTGCCCAAGAAGTGCAGAAAATCGCACTACTGGGAACAGCACACATCCTGCGAAAAAGTCTGGATTGAATGCCTATGTCCCAGGTTGGGACACGGTCAAGACAGAAGCCACCGGCTAATGCCGTGATCCACTTTGGAAATAATAATAATAATAATAATTGCAAGTCATGATATGCTACATTGAAACAACTAACGGACTGGCTGACAAATATAGTAAGCTAGAGACGCTGCACTATGCCGGCGCGGGAAATGTCTACGAATGTGATACGAGATGTTATGTGTCTAGCCGCAATATGCGCATCC